TGCTGCTTGTGGGCTCTTTCTGAAGGTTGGTAGAAACTGCACTTTTTAATCTGTTTTCATGCTTGTCCAAGATCTTTAAAGGAAGGAAGGAAGGGAGAGAGAGAGAGAGAGAGAGAGAGAGAGAGAGAGAGAGAGAGAGGCTATATTGCTCTTTAGCTAATTCAGCTTTACATTATTATGTACAGGTAAACATTTCCACAGTTGCACAATAATGTTACGCTTTTTTAACTTCATACACAATGTGTGTGTGTGTTACTTGGGGTTGCACCTAGGGGGCTGCACACTGAGTTACAGCCTCAGCCTTTTTCATTTTTATACTATGAGACAGGATCTCACTAAGTCATTCATGCTGAGCTTTATCTTCCCGCTTTAGCCTCCCATAGTGCTGAGATTACAGATGTAAACACCCAGCTACACCTTTTTGTTTTAACTAACTAGAGTTAAAAATTAGCTCCTTATTTATTCGTTTAGTTTTCTCTCATTCATTACTAAGTCGTCTCATTGGACCCTAGATTACCTAAATCTCTCAGATTCATCCAGCTCTGACATCTAAACCAGAGCACAGCTGCCTTGGGATCCCACATCCCCACCCCTTCCCTGAAAAGACTGCGTGTGCCTTTAGTTTGTTCTTACTCTTCGTTGGCTTTAGATGGGACCCAAGTGCAGTAGGAAACATTTCTTCAGAAATGTGTGGCCTTGTCTCAGAGCTCCTACATAGTCAGGTCGCCGCCTGGTTCTCAACCTTTTGAATGCAATCTGTCTTCCTCTCAGCAGGCATAGGTGTGTGTGTGTGTGTGTGTGTGTGTGTGTGTGTGGTACTGGGGATTGAACTCAGGCCCTTATGCTTGCCAGGCAAGCACTTACTCTACTGAGCTATTTCTCCAGCCCCATGGCAGAAGGTCTTCTCTCTGCACCTGGCACTCAGAAGTCTCCTGGCTCCTGGTGCACAGCATGGGCACCTGCCTTACTGTGCTGACTCCTTGAGACCTCTCATCTGGAGACACAAATCTTTCCACTTCAGAAAACTGCCTTGAATTATCTGTTTTCTCCATTTGGGGCTTTTGTTTTTGTTTGCTGTTTGTCTTTTGAGACGGGGTCTTGCTATGTCGTTCAGCATGACCTCAAACTCTCTGTGATGCTTCTGCCTCAGCCTTCCAAGTGCTGGGATTATAGGTGTGAGTCACCACGCCCCGTTCTATCGCCTGGTATTTTGTGAATGAAATGTTAAGTCTGAGCCTGTCCCTGAGTTTTCCTCTCTTGTTTTGGTGTTATCTCTGTTGCTCCCTGCTTCCCTGGGAAATGATCTCAATTTTGTTTTTATCCTTTCTTTGAGATTTTTCACCTCTGCCATCATGTTTTTAATCTCCAAGACCTTTTCTGTTACGCAACTGGTCCTTCATGAATTGTTCTTTTCTTTTTCCTTCCTTCCTTTTCATTATTTTATTTTTTATGTTTGGTACAGGTCTCACTACGCAGCTCAGACTCATAGTGATCTTCCTGTTTTCAGCCTCCACAGGGCTGGATTACAGGTATGCACCACCATGCTGGGTCTCTGTGGTTGGCTCAGCATGTCCAGGGGCGTGGTGGGCATGGCATGTGGTGGTGGTGGTGGTGATGGGGATTGTGCTTGCTATCTCACCAGCCCTCTTTTTGTCTTTTTGAGACAGTCTCACTATGCAGTTCAGGCTGGCCTTGAACTCATTTTGTAGCCCAGGCTGGTCTTGAACTCAAAGCAATCCTCCTGCCTCAGCCACCTGAGTGCTAGGATTCCAGGTGTGGACCCCCTTGCCTGGCTCTTTATGAATCTCTGTCTCTGGTCCTGGTGTGACTCTGCCTAGACCAGTGTCATGCTGATGAAAAGTGGACACAGCAGAAAAATTCATGCCCTGAGCATGTTGGAGATTGGACTGATTGTTGGGTAGGGTGTCCTCACCCCTTCACTTCTTTGCTACCTCGGCTGGCGTCATCTGTGTGGTTTGGAGTCCCAGGCCGCCTTCCTCACCAGCTGGAAAGAACAGACCTGAAAACTAGCAAGAGTGCAGGAGTGCAGAGGCAGGAAGTATGCAGGGAGGAGGCCCAGAGAGAACAATGAAGAAGCCTGATAGCCCTGGTAGCTAGCAGGACCCAGCCATGCATGACACATGACTACCCTTCCACCTACTGGGTACACAAAGCAACGACTCCTCGTGGCTTAATCTACTTTTTATTTTTTGCACTAAAAATGTCCTGTTTGATATGCACCTCTCTTTAGTCCTATAATAGAGAATTTGGCAAAGGGCAAGATAATGTGAGATCGCAATCCATTTGGGCTGCTATAACAAAGACAGCACACACTACACAGCTTCTAAACTACAGGAATCTATTGCTCACAGTTCTGGAGGCTCAACTCTAATGTCAATGAAACAGCAGATTCGGTGTCTGGTGAGATGGTCTCCTGACTCCTCTGGAGGTTCCCTTTTGCTGTGCGCTCACATAGCAGAAGAGTCAGCATACCAGGTCCTAACCCCATGCCTCAGTTCTTGTCCTCTAAACTGTTTCCCCAACCTTCTAATACCATAACCTTGGGGCTAGAGTTGTTCACCCTGTCAGTTTAGGGGGACACAAATACAGGCTGTTGTAAGTAGAGTAGGGAGATAAAACTCGAATAAACACTGTTGTCCCCGAATGCTGCCCTTGACAGGCAAGTCACTGAAGCCAGGCTAGTGGTAGGCTGACCCCTCTGGGACCAATAGGTCCTGAGGAGGACATCTAGGCCCAGGCAACAGCCTCCTCCTCCAGTTCCCATTTCCCTCTTTCCTCAGGACCACC